AGGGTCTTTAAAGAATTAATAAATTTATCTCACTTGTCGCTAGACCTCCATTCATGTTTCCAGTGGTTGTATATGATGTTCTTGATATGAGATTTAGTTTGACATTTTTCACCCGGAATCACATAGTCACTCTGTTCGATCTTAGTGGCTTACTAGTAAGATGAATTAAAGCAGTTCTGCTTTTCAAAATGTGATATAATCAGCAAAAGAACAAAGCTGAATAATCTAACAAGGGAAGTATGCATCTCGTAAATTCTTGATTTTTGACCTCTTCATTTGAAGTAAAGGTTTTACAGTCCAAGAAGTTTTGCAGTGACCGGAACAAATAATAATCCGAAGGCGCCAGATATGGCGAATATTGTGGGTGTGACAGTGTATCCCATTCAAGGTGTAAAAGCTTTTGGCGAGTGACCAAACTTGTATGAGGTATCGCATTATCTTGGTGGAACACTATACCTTTTTTGTTGATTAATTCTGACCTTTTCTGTTGAAGTGCATCACTCAGCGTATCCAGCTGACGACAGTAGACTTCCGAATTAATTGTTGTGATATCTAGTAAAAGCTCAAGAAAAACTATTCCTTTAAAATCCCACCAAACAGACAGCATCACCCTTTTTTGATGGATATTGGCTTTCGAAATGCTTTGAGCCAGTTCATCTTTTTTGCTCCCTGATTTCTTGCGTTTGACATCGTTATAGATAACCCATTTTTTGTAATGATGCACTTCAAAAATGGATCATTTTCGTGACGTTTGAGAAGCGAATAACAGACGTCAACGCGACGACACAAATTTCTCTATGTGAGAACATGGGGAACCCATATATCGAGCTTCGAGATTAAACCCAGGCCTTTCAAGTGGTCATGAACAGTTGAATTCGATGAATTTAACCTCTCACCGATCTCACGATTCGCCGATTTGCATCAACTAATGCCTTATCAGCTTCGACTGGCCTTCCAGAACTTGGTGGATCTTCGACATCAAAATTGCCGGATCGAAATTTTGCAAACCAGTTCTGGCACTGGCGTACTGTCAACACATCTTCTCTAATACACAATGGTTAATTTCTTTCTGGCATGAACAGCATTTTTACCTTTTCTATAGTAAAAAAGTAAAATATGACGAAAATGCTGCTTATTGCTCTCCATATTTAAAAGGGCACCAACTAAAAACTACTGCGTAGAATTAATTGACCTTCTTCACACACAAGCCTTGCTATATCAGCTCTCAAAATATATAATGATAATGCGGCTTACGTGTGAAGATGGGTTCGAAAAAATACAATTAAATCCTCTGTCGAAAAAACGAATCAAACTCCAGTACGTATCAAACAATTTGCTACATATATCAATAGTAAATAATTGAAAAAATAAAAATTTCTTGAAAATTTTTATGCTTAAATTGACATCATTAACTGAATTTTTTTATGCTTAATGCCAAAAACCAGACTTTAATATACATAAACGAATATACTGTTAAAAACAACGTTGCTTACCAATTCCCCTAATATATGCTACAAAGACGAAATTTCAGTTTCTATATACATTGACTTAAAAATTACTTGGATGTGATGCGGCTCAACCTCTAGATAACTGCATCCAAATTATAAAAATTTTCAAACCTTAAAAAAAAAAAAAAGAAAGAAAAAAATAGAGAGAGGGGGGAAAAACNGGGGGGGCATCGTGCACGAAAATCCTTTACCTGGTTAAATTGTGATTTATTGATAACTGTATTATTTGTATCATGCGTCCATTTAATGAGTTTAGTGGCAGGTTCAGTGTAGACGTTAAGAAAAAAGGTGGGGAATTGTGCGCACTAAAAAGTTAGCTACTCTCAATACACAACAAAGGAGAAGGGTTAAAAAATTACAGGCACATTAAAATTCTTAAAACAAAAAATATTTATCTCATCAGTTGTTGTTGTTCATTTACGTCGCACTAGAGCTGCACAATGGGCTATTGGTGACGGTCTGGGAAACATCCCTGAGGATGATCCGAAGACATGCCATCACAATTTTGATCCTCTGCAGAGGGGATGACACCCCTGCTTTGATAGCCCGACGACCTGCACGCGAAGTCGAGCACTTTACGGTGGAACAGTTTAACGAGGACCAATACCACACACCCTCGGTCCCTACTCAGACTGATCCAAGTGGTCAAACTTCCGACGCAAACTTCAATAATAATTAACCTGATGTCTGTNAAATCTATGTTGGTATAAAACGTAAGAACGCATAGTTTTGTGTGTCCTTTTCATCAAAATGTGATCCTGATAAGCTGTGCCGGAATTGTCCGGAGTCTTGTCCACTCCCCCTCCTTTGCAGGAGTGGGGACGTGAACTGTTAGCAATACCAGCCTACATTTAAATAAACCTGCTTAGAACGTCTGATGGCTTAAGACTGCAATTATTTTAAGCTAAATACAACACTGATAACAGGGTTGTAGCCCTGTTATTACATATATATATTTTTATTTTATTACCGAAACCAAAAGACTTTAAAAAAATGAAATTTCTACTGAAATTTTTTTTCTTTTCCACTTATTATAGGATTTTATCACCCCTGTTACTTTTTTTATTGGATAGAAACTTGTATCAAGTGTTCAATTAAAACTTTCTGTGTAAATTTTGTAATAAATTAGGACATTAAACTCCTGAGGCAGTGGTTATATTGATAATAAGTTGAATTCTATATTAAGTCAATTGCATGCAAATAGAGAAATATATATATATGAATTTTAAAAGATAATAAATTGAGTCGCCATACAAAACTACTGTTTCTATTACGGAAATTTCATATTTATGCTGAAAGCATCATAGTTATTTTACTGATTCCGCTAAGAAAAGTAAAATATGCAGCATTTAATAAAAAATGACAACATATGCTAATTTGCAAGGAAAGCAGCATATTAGTAATCATTATAAGATTGAAAATATATGCTAGTATTAAAATCAAAACTATTTGAATAGATGTTTGTCTTTTTTTCCTCCATATTTAAAATGATACATAAAATTAATTTTAGCAATATTTTCAAATAAAGTTTGCAGCAAAAAAAAAAAAACTTATTAAATCCCCTAACTATGCTTCGAAAGGGTCTAAATTATATATTAATATTAGGTTGTAAAACGTAAACAAAACATTAAATAAATTAATTAATTCGAAATGGACTTTCATTTTTTAAAATAGAGCCTTTTTTTTAAATATTAATCCATATTTAAGCTTAAAGTACAAAATTTAAAAAAAAAAATTATTTAATTATGTACAACTAGAACAAAACATATAAATGACAATTTTTGGAGTTATATTTTTCTGTACGTATCTCTATTCTAAAAACAAGGATAATGCTGAAGGTTATCGCCAAAAGGAAAATTTAAAAAAAAATTAAAATTAAAGAAACTTAATTCAGAGTGACAAAAATACGAGGATACGTGCTTTATTTAGAGCTTGAGCAAAAGTTGCAGCATTTCCTTGCCAAGTTAGTAAATTTCTTTTAATGAAGTCAATTAATTAATAAAACAGGCATTTTACATTTTTTAAATAATTTTTGCTCACCAATAGATTCATTGAAACCTAGTTTCAGTTGAATAGTTCGTCATCTAATAGTTCGTCATAATTTTTTAAAAATACTTACAGATGTCAAGAAATTTTTATTCGATTTTTTTTTAATTCGACTTAAAACAGCAGAACATGAGTGTGTTTTTAATTTCAAAGTACTTTTACGTACTCTTTTTCTATCTGTTTAAATCTGTTCAGCATCCCATACATTTTTGTTTTTGTAGCATACAAATATTTTTCACATACATAAGTTGAAACAAATGACATTAGATGTTTTACAGCTCTTTTGACATTTTTTGGATATTCTTTTCCAATGCAAATCCGAAAATGAATAACAATTGAGTTTCTGTCCATGTTGATATATCAATTTGTTATTCTCTTTCTTTTATTGAAATTTTAGAGGTGCCACAGTCTTGAAAATGATTTTGATTCCAATAAAAGTTTTCTTCTTGAACAAGAAAAGATTCATAATACTATGCAAGCTAGGAGCGCATTCAATATTATCTTTCAAAATGCAACCTGTCAAAATTTAAATTTTAGAAGTGAGGCGTTTCTTTTGCATCGTACCTTAAAAATAGTGATTATTTTTCCTTGCAGAGTTGCGTTGAGCTCATTGGCATAGTTAAAAACATCTGCTAGAAACACAAATTTCTGAATCAAAACAAGACTAGTTAATTTTTGAGACAATAGAGATTAAATGCATTTTCAGAAAAAAAAGTCTTTTTTCATCTTTCTTTCTTTTTTCTCCTCAAAATCTTGCCAACACTTATCCATGAGACAATAAACGAATATCCGTGTGCCACAGTGCTTTACGTCAACTTCCCATATTTTCGCTAACTAAATTGTGAACTTATGGCAAAATTTAAGGTTTTATTTTTTCAAAAAAATATTCATCTACGTTTATACTTACTAGTTAACTGTCTTGAAGACTTCGATCTAGAATAAAAATTAAAATTTTACTTAAAATTCTGGTGCTTTGATAGTGATCAATTGTATCTGTCAAAGTTCCAGGAAAATCCTATGGTTTCGTTGAAGACTTCTGGGAGAAAAAGAAAATCATAGCTGTCACCAACGGGAGGAAAATTCAATAATGTCTTTTTCCTCAGGCATATAATCCAAAATATATTTTTGCATTTTTTTTTTATCCATTTCAATATTTTGTTTCGACATTAACTTCTATATTGTTTATTTTATTAAGATTGACTTTCTTATCCTCTCTTTTAAGAAAATCTCCTTTTAATCTCTTTTTAAAAATCATAAGAAGAAAAAAGAAAATATTTAACCAGAACTGAAAACTCCTAACGTAAAAATAACCATAAAATAAACATCCACTGATAAATAATGAATGAAGTTTAAACGTCCAGACATTTCTTATTTTTATTTCTTGTTTAATAGAACGCATGCGTCGATGGAAGGTAACCACGCCCGCTAGATGATGATGTAATAGCCGCTTCGAAAGTAATGTGTAAAGTAAACCACACTTGTTCTACCTCTGTTTATTCGGAAATAAGCTCATTCTCGGAGAGCAGCTTGAGTGTAATTTTAGAACAAAAAGGAGAAAAAAAATGGATACTAATATTTCTTCTTTACTCTTTTACTTCATAGGTAAGTGTTTTAATTTGACCTTTTAAGCTATTTTACTAACTGGTGTAGAATTTTAAAATTGGAAAAGTTTACTTAATTTTATTAACTGCCTAATTATTTTTTTAAAATGTTCTCTTAGATTTTCGGATGCTGAAAATATTATATTCGGATTGGGTTAGAAAGACTGAAACTGAGAAAATTGTAATTGATAAAAAATTGAGCGCTATAAGCCTGTTGAAGTTCAATTAAAATTTTTTTATTTCAAAATTTATTTAAAATTAATAATTTAAAACCTATAATTTAAAACTACTAATTTAAAACCTATAATTTAAAACTAATAATTTAAAACCTATAATTTAAAACTAATAATTTAAAACTAATAATTTAAAACTAATAATTCAAAACTAATAATTTAAAACTAAAAACTTAATAATTTTTCCCCTTTCATTTACGGTTTTTAATGCTGTATTTTTCTGGTAACTATAATTTGACAAGACTTATATTTTAAAAACTTTATTACATTGCTTAAGAAAATTAAACTTCAAAAAATGCCACAAATATCATGAACTGAAATAATAATAAAGTAAAATAGCTGTAAAAATGTACTGAGTTTTAAAATTAGAAAAAAATTATATTCCTTACATTTATTTACTTCTTTATTTTATTTATTATTTTTTAAAAAAAATTCCTCCACATTTTCAGGTTGCTTTATATTGAAAAGGTTGCTGAGTTTAAAATAATAGGGAGACTGAAACTGAGAAAAACATAATTAACATACTGAAAAAGAAAATATTCAATAAAATGTTCGAAAAAATAATTCTTTATTTATTATTTTTTCATTATATATTTAACAATTTTATTATAACTTTATTATAACAATGTTTTTAACTTTGAATAAACCTATAGTAATAAGCATTAAATACAATTTTAAGGAAATATAACAAAAATTATTTAATAATAACAATACAAAATACATAAACAAATATTGAAATTGGATTCACTTTTATTTAATTATTTTTACACTGAACAGCATGTATTGAACGTTATTACTTTAAATTCTTTCATACTGCTTATTTCAAGTTAAATACTTCCATTTACATCCATCGCCGTAATATTTACTGAAAGCTACGTAATCAATGTTTATTTATTTTGTCACTATCAGTGTCTCATCGATGAAAAGTTTTTTCTACATGCCATGCCAGTTTTCCTTAATACTTAATTTACGTCTCAAAGATTGCCAATTTGTGTTATTAAAAAGATAAATGTATATAAATAAAAGCAAACGATATCAATAGTACGAATTCTCGCTTTATGTATAGTTTGCACATTTTCATTGGAGTTTTATATCTTTTTGATCGCTTGTAATAACTTAATTAAAACGAATAACATTTTATGAAATTGATTTTAAGCGAAAACGAATCTGTTGCACAGAAAAAAAACATTAATTTTATTTATTTGAATTAAGTTATTCTTTCTTAAAGTGTTAGTGATATTTAATCTATAAAAAAGTAAACGATATCAGAAAATAAGGGTTCTTCTATACAATGGAATGAATCAACTTTAAATATTGTAATTACTTCTTTGATTGCCTTTCAAATTCTTTTGATCGTTTCGAATGTTCTAATTAAAAAATGACAATGCTGAATTTATTTTTAAACCTAAATAAACTTGTCGCACTAAAAATACCTCAACTCTATTCATTAGTATCACCTAATAAAATGCAGATAAGGCATTCCAAACACCTAACTACATCGACTCTTAACGCCTTTTTCTAATTTAATTGATGTTTTGGAGCGTTTGGAAAGACGGCCATATTCAAACAAAAGGTAATTTATCATGTATCTGTTCCTTTTTTTCTCTCTCGTTTTATGGCTGCATTTCATTTGACAAAACTATTGTGGTATCAGAAACACGAATCTGCAACCGGTGTTTCATTAATTAATGAGGTATCTGACTGATGAAAATATGCGTTCTCTAAGGTTTTACAACGCACTTTGATTTTGATTTTTGATCGAACTATTTTTTCCCGCCATAACTTACATTTAATGAATGCAATATTTTCTCACTTTCACATATTTTACGTTCCATCTCATTTCAGAGACATTTATATATATTGAGTGAAAGTTTTGATTGGAAAAACGTTCTGCAAGCTCGAAACGAAAATAATTCTAATTTGTCCTGAAAAGCATTCTGTGTCCAAGAAATGGAAAAAGCTTCCTATCAAACTGTTTTTAGGGAATTTATTACTCTCATTTAAAAAATTAAAAATATTCAATTGATTTCTCTAATTGGGTATACTATAGCCTACATCACAGGTTGTGTTATTCCTACTAAATTTAACCCATGAACGGCATTTTCTGCGAGCCTAACTTCAAGCCACAAATAAACAAACGAAGTGTTTGATCNATATATATTGAGTGAAAGTTTTGATTGGAAAAACGTTCTGCAAGCTCGAAACGAAAATAATTCTAATTTGTCCTGAAAAGCATTCTGTGTCTAAGAAATGGAAAAAGCTTCCTATCAAACTGTTTTTAGGGAGCTTATTACTCTCATTTAAAAAATTAAAAATATTCAATTGATTTCTCTAATTATGAGAAATTTTAGAAATTTAATGTGATCCAGTAAACCTTAAATAGCGTAAACGTAAATGTTTTCAAATTTCTGAATGAAAATTGTTTTCTCGCTTGGTCATCAAAAAGTGGAAACAAACTGAGATATAAGTTGGTAAGAATTAAAAGGTTAAAAACGAAAAGCGAATAGTTAGTATCAACAAGAAAAGTGTTCTATATAAAGTTTCAATCATACTTATTCTGGTTCAATAATGATAACTTTAATCATTGCTATCATTATTCATTTAAAAATGAGTGTTAGTCGTAATGTTATGCTTTTTATAATACGTATAATTTTATAATATGCTTTTTTATTACGTATAATTAAGAAAAGAACATGCTAGAAGATCAGAAGAAAGCGTTAATGATAGTTATGAAAGACATAACTTAAATGCGCAGTCATACATTTTGCTTTCCAAAAGCATAGGCATTGTTTGGTTTCTACAAGGTTTCCTATTGCATATCATTTATTTCAATTTAAAAGTTTTAATTCAATAACTTATTATTGACTAAAAATTTTAAATTTAGTTTTAGCTTTAAATATTTAAATAATTAAATTAAATTCTTAAGGCTTTACGCTTGATTTTATTTTAAATGGTTTTAACTTAGTAGCAAGCAATACGAGCGTGGTTCTCAAATCAAACTATATAAGATTGCATAGCAATCTTTGAGGGTTGGGGATCGACAGCGAACACTGGCAGACCGACTAGTTCTTTTATGTGGCACATAAAATAGCACTTTTTACCATTATAGCCACATTCTTTTATCCATAAGTTTAAAAAGTTTCACTTTTAAAGAACATTTACTATAAATAAATCAATACATACAAGCTTAAAAGCAGAAAGTTTTTCTTTTTCATTTATTCGTGGAGAATTTTTTTTAAAAAAATAATGGAATTTGCTTAAAAAAATAAATATTTGTTTTTTTATTTCCAATAAATTTTTAAACGGAAACAACAACTTTTTACAAGTTTATTAAAAAAAAATTCTTTTTTTTTTTTTATTAAATCCGGAGCGAAAGTATTAAATAATTGAAATGATTTAGGGAATTAGCATCCATTCAAATTTACTAGATCATAGCTTTGAGTGAAAAAATGCTCTTTTTGCAAAGAAATTTAGAGTTCTGAACGACGCCTAAAGCTATAAGATTAACTGGAAAAGTTTTCGTGAAAAAGTATTAAAAAGTATTCGAATGCAAGTAAAATGAAAACTAAACTGTCGTATAAAAACTAGAGGACCCAATCCCATACTCGATTAGGTCACTTATATCCGAACTTGCTTTTACAGTTACTCTCGGACAGTGCAATTCTAGTTCACTTCACTCCTTAATTGGATACTTATTTTTTAAATCCAGCTTTATATGCAAGCTGGAACAGTTTCTAAAATGATATCCTAAAACATGCGACACCCTGCCAGGACTCAAAAATTATGCTATCTGACAGGCCCGAAGCATATTTTGATTTGAGGCACCAAAGAGAGAGAAGAAAAAATATTTTTCTCCAACCACTGTGCAAAAGAAAATAATTCATATAAAAGTTCATAACATTGTTTTGAAGTACAGCATTTGCTCCATCAAAACTTTATTGTTAACAATACTTACCGTAAAACGGGGCGAGTCTACCCATTTTTTCAGTTTCTCAACTTTCAAGTGGTCAAAATTTTGTAAATATTAAAGAAAAAAGGCTTTTAATAGGTGTTTCGGAATCGCTATTTATCCCTCTTTAAAGCTGTGAAATCGATTTTAGAAAATATTAACAGTTACGCTGTTACTGTATATTTTTATAGAACTGCTGACAAATCTCTCGTATGGGGCGAGTCTACCCATTCTACTAAAATGAATGTTAACATTGTAAATAATCAAATTTTACTATTAAATTGTTATTTTAGTTACTATATAGGATATTTATGAAGTAAAANTTGTTGCGATATGATATTTGTCCAGTTCTGACACCTAGGGACCGATCACAAATTAAAAGTTACCAGTTTTGAAGACTTAAGACTCCAAGAAAAGATTTCAAGAAAAAAGTGTGGACAAATAAATAAACCTTAAATAGATAAAAAGAAATCTCGTTAGTAATAATATGAATTTAATAATTTATTTTTTTCATCCGTTAAGCTAGAATCAAATTAGATATTTTTGAAAAAAAAATTAATTAAGGATTAATTAATAAGGATAACTTACGGAAAAGATCTTTTAATTAATTAATCATACTATTTGATCAATTAATTTGGACTCTTAACCCGATTTTTATAATTGAAGTGGTACAAAAGGTGGTTTTATGAAAAAAGTGGTATTTACCTAAAGTGGTATGTTATTCACCTCTAATATCAACTGTTTGTTACCATTTCATTTCGAAATGTCCCTCCATCTTATAGTTCTAGATATAGTGATAGAAACTTAAATCACTAATAA